CAGACTGAGAGACCAAAACTATGATCTGTTGACGATCAGCATTTTGAACTGCTGAACAGGAAGAAGTACTGTGGCGTTTATGTTCATCAAGTACTAGACGGGTTTGTTCGTAACTGTAGTTACAGATATCCAACTCTCCCTAGAGAATAGTACGACACGAATTTGAACCACTGATACCCCAAGAACAAAGCTAACCAAGCACGAGAAAACGTGGTCATTCAAAAGGTAAGAAATATCTTTTTAAGCTACGTATCGATATCACTTTGACCGGTTGCAATGACTGAAGCAGCATTTGAGAACAGCGTCAATAAAAATACCGAGAATCCAATATGGGCGGCCGTCACCACCAAATATACAAGGATTTCAAATAAATCAGCAAATAAAAAGATGGTTTAAGGTTCAGCAGCGGGATAGCATAGCTGATAAAGGAATGGCATGGCCAACTTATAGACACTGTTTAGTTTTTCTTCATGAAACAGAACACCCTAAACATGAATAGTCTAGGGTCGATATTCTCCAAGTACGGTCCCGAGCAAGCTTGGTTAATAAGAGATGTATTATACGACTGAAGAAAGCTTTGCAGGTTTTTTCACAAGTTCCATGTAACATTATGCGGAAAATGTACAGGATAAAAAGGACCGATTCCGCGGGCTTAGAATGTGTACATTTTACGGCCGATAAAATATGCTTTCAGTTTTGACTTAATATTTAAAGAAAAAACAAAATAACGTAACGCGCAAGTTTTTCATGTTGTTTGAAGTGTAAGCCATTACAATCCAGGCATCAGTTTGAGATACTTTTAATTTAACTCAGTTTTAAGTGGTACAAAGTCTATCAAGCGTGACATGGGCTTTCAACACTGTCAGAAAAGTCAACGTTCCATTTTCATTCAACACGTAATTTCTCGCAAGGTCCTGAACAGTCAACTGAAACTTTGATTTTGTGACTGAAAGGCTTTAACGACGAAAGGGATAAGTTTAACAAAGTGCCTACGTTGAGGTTTTGTCGTTTTGAACAAATTTAAAATCAACGTCTTTAATGGAAATTCGTTTCAAGCCGAAACTCAGGTAAATGGCAAAATAGGCTAGGCGTCGCTAAAAGTTGAGCGGTGGAAGGAATTAGCGATCAAACATCGGTAAATCAAGCGGGACGGAAAATATTTCATCTTCGTCGTCGCTTTCAATGATGTGCCTTCCTGGTCGCTTTAAAGCTGGTTCGTTGACGATATTGACCGGCCCAGTCATAATCTGAAAGGTGCAGTCCGATACAGAGAAAATTAACCCCAATACTGTGAGACCCTACGTAGAAAAGAGTTTATAAGACTTTTGCCCTGGGGTATTACCACTCTATTTCTTTAAATTCAAGTTTCCTATTTTCATACGAGGCCGAAAACAGTCAGAGGGTATTTTGTAACTATAGTTACAGCATTCAAACACATCTGGTTTACAGCTGTTTACCAGCGAAAGATTAATTTTCTAGAGTTTTCTGATGCAGATCAATGCGTTATAACTATCCTACAGGTTTTACTTTATGTGCCCTTTTAAAGTGGTTGGCTCACCACGCAGCTGAATATTTCATCATGGCGAGGAGAAATTCTACCCAAAATTTCAATTTTCGAAGGATAAAACAAAACAAACTTATTAGCAGGTGGAAGTCAATACTTTCAATAACATAACTTGAAGCATTTTATTTCGAAGTATCGCGGCAATTAAGGTTTCTTTCATTATACAAAGCTGACAAATAAATGCCGAACATATTCCTCGCAATGAGTCATAATAGAATGTAATGAAAAACGGGTAATCTATTGACTTGGGACGACTATTATACAGTCGTGAACGATCAATGCGTAATTTGTTATTTCATCATGATAGCGATCCAGTTCAAGCTTTTTCTTGAGTCGTTTTTCTTGAATCCCCTGCAAACTCACTCTTATTCAAGGAATCTCTTTCTCACTGTTTGAATGTTTCTGTTTCATTGGTGAGTGGAATTCCTATTTATGGTCCCTGATCAATTTCTAGTATTTCACTTTTTTAGTGTCATTCCCTCGAAACCATTAAAAGTAAAATGCACGAGCAAACTGTTAGCACCTGGTAACCATTGCAAATATTCTATAAAATGACACGATGATTAACTTGAAATATTAATTTTAGGATACACAAAACAAGTTTACCGCCTCCCAGTTAGCTCAAGGGATAGAGCGCTGGACTGCTGTGCGGGAGGTCGAGGGTTCGAGCCCCCGGCCGGGACAACACTCAAGGTCTTAAAACAAGTGAGAAGAATATGCTACCTTTCTATATTAAGAAATGGTTAGATACTGTAGTCTTCTCGGATGGGACGAATAAATGGAGGTCCCGTCTCCTGCAGGGTTAGGGGTAGGAGACGTTAATTTCCCACGCACGAGATTACTGTGTGATGGATGTCCTCCCCTNCAACAAAGTTGAAATGGTAAATTGGCCACCGTAATGATTACAAAAGCTGACGTTTCGAGCGTTAGCCCTTCGTCGGAGCGAATAGAGGAATTGTGGGTTGTGTGTGCTTTTAAAGGCAGAAAATGGAGCTACGTTATTGGTGGGAGCATGGCAACGAGAAAAACATGAATAAATTAGTGGAATGAAAAGCGTTCGTTGATCCCTGTGGGATTTAGACTGCCGGTTTGAAAGATGAGCTTTTGTTCAAGATTTTTACGGCTTTCCGTGCCACCTAAGTGCAAGGAAAGACCGCAGATTGCCATGTGTTGCTTAGAATGATTAGGTAAATTAAAATGTCTAGCGACTGGTTTCGATGTGTCCTTGTCATTCCTTTCCACGTCTCGAAGGTGTTCTCGGAATCGGTCACCTAGTCTTCTCCCTGTTTCGCCGATGTATATCTTTTTGCAATAAGTGCAAATATTATGAGTTCAAGGCCGAATTGTACCAAACAGTCTCTCTAGATGTACTCGAAGAGAATAAAACCTACTCCGATGTATCGTAGTTGACGAAAACAAAGGAATTCTAGAACTCGGACCACTATCATCGCTCGATTACATCATCAACAACGCGCTTTCATAGGCTTTTATTCAGGGAGTTTTCGATTGCGTCTTAGAAAAAAAAAAAGCTAAGAAGCATCGATCACCACAAAATAAGTAACATGGTTTTTCTATTGCCTAACTTAAGGATCTATAGCATTAGAGCATTAGAGGAACCTCCCTCAGATGGTTTTGTTCTTATCTAAGTAATCGTTCACAAACCTGTCTAATAAATTGCAATAAATCAACCGGCCTGTTGGATTCTTCAATGCGGTGTTCCACAGTGAACCATCTAAGACCCTATTTCAGTCCTGTTTTATACAAGCGATCTTCCTAACTGACGACACCTTAACCCTTTGTCAGAGCGAAACTCGACATTCGCTCTGATAAAACCAAATTATCTTGTTGTAATCCCTCCCTTATTCTTTTATGTGTTATGGAACAGCCCGCCTAAAGAGATAAAACAATTGTACTCTCAAGATGGAATGATTTCAAAATGAAGTTAAATAACTACACTTTCCAAAACGAGATCATCTAGCATTATCTTATAAATACATTGCATCCTTTAACACCCGAACGCAAGTTAGAACTTGGTACTTGATGAAACTGAGTATACACTTATTGTACACATAATAGAATTATACATTCTCTGAAACATTGTATATTTCATCATCACTCAGGCCGATGGCCTCCTGTGTGAAGAAGACTACAAATTCGAAATGATTCGCATGAATTGATTACAATTCTTCTCAGGTTATTCTTAAGCGTTTTATCGAGGAAAAAGCTATTGCTTGAACTTTTTCTTTTATCA